AATAAAACCACATTTCTTTACTGTGCTAAGGAGAACGTATGGATGTTCCTCTTTCGGTTGAAACAGCAGAAGTCTGCTTTGCTTTCTGGCGGTTCTTTGGGGGTGCTTGTAGTTTTAGGGTTGGGATGGGAAATAACTCTGGACGATTAAAACCCTAAGTATGCAAGGTTTTTAAAAGTTAATAAACATTTAATAAAGGTAGGAATGAAAATATAGCAGTCAATTTCCCTCATGCTCTTCTAGGCAAAAACAGCTGTTTTCCTTTGCTTTTTCCGACCATAAAAATCTGAGGTTTTTCCCTCCGAATTTTAAAGTTTTGGAGGAAAAGCTTTCAGTGCTCACTGTGCTCTTCTTAAATACTGGTTTTGTAGTACCATATTGTATTAAAAAGTGGCTCTGTTTTCTTCTCCCCTCTCCTGTTTTCTTCAAAACTTACCTTTAAAAAGATGGATACAGATGCTGTTTATGTTTATTCCAAAACTATATAATTTGGGGTTTGCTGCCATTGAGGGTGCAATTCAAATAATTACTCAGGTATGGGCAGAAATTAATGACTATGGTATCTGCTGGAATTTTTAGTTATACTGATGTTTCTTCTACTGGACTGTAGATATTAAATAATTAGAATATATTAGAATCCTTATAACTAAAATAATACCCTTAAAGAATTCAGGTCATCATAGTGTAAGCTGGCGTGCAAGTGCTGTCTTTACAGAAGTTGGGCATTGTAACAATCTTCGCGTAGGAAGTGATTCATACGAAGCTTTTTATAAATATCTTCTTGCTTACTAGCAGGGAAGCTTCCAGTTTTCTCCTTGACTGCTTTCAGAGCTCTCCTTTGTGACTTTGCAGTCATTAATCTTAGATTTTTCCCTAAATCACTGTTTTTATTTCTGCTTTGAATCACGGATCCTCCTTTTATGCTTTCTCTTTGGACTATTTTCTTTCAGTAGTTTTATTAAATAACACAAATCTTGCTTTTGTTTCAGCTTTGTACAGTAGTTAATCTTCAAAACCTTTTATTAGCAAGAAGTTTATATTAGTTCTTCACTTTTATCTGTTTGTATGGAATAAAATGGAAAAGTCTCTTATTTAAAAGAAACTGAAGAGATCTTCCTTGTCTTTGTGGTTGCCCAATTTGAGTTGTAAGTTGAATGTGTTGGGAAACAGTATGAACTTCAGTTATTTGATTTTTTTATTTTTATAGGACAAAACCTCAGGCCACTAATCGAGGAGGAATAAGAGCTATATCATGGTCAGGAAAAATGCAAAACAGACAGTGGACTTAAAAAGAAAAAACTCTGAGTTCATGCTGTCTTTGATAATAACTGTGTGCTGTAAGTGGGATGATGTTATGCTGTTACTTATGAGCCTTGGTAGCAGTTGTGGCAGTTTTATTTAATTACTTGTATACTAGCTAAAACTTGTGTCCTAGTTTGCATTATGCAGAGCTGTATGAGAATAATCTTCCTGTTTTCTACTATGTGCATAGTTTCACATGTCTGCTTTATCCATAAGCATTTGGGGTTTTTAAATAACAGCATTTTAATATTTGCCTTGGTACATATTGCAGAATTAAACATCAGGCTTCAAAAAAGGCTAAAATAGCCTTGTACATCTTTTAGTCACTGGAGCATCAAGCTCGTGTCTATGGTATGTATTCTCCATGTGTGAATAATGTATATTAGCTAGCAATTTGCAAATTATCCTCTTTAATACTACTTGAGATGAATGCTGTTTGCAAATAAGAGGATAACAAGCAATTTGATTTTTTGCAAATGTCTCTTTTTTCAAATGGTAGAATGGAGATGGAGAAGAGAAGGTATGTGTCATACTGAAGGGATGATTCCTGCCTTTGCATTACTGTTCACATGAAAGTCCAAGTGATGCTCCGGAGTCATATTTCATCTTAGATTTCTGATTTCTCCCAGTACTACAGAATATAAGCAAGTCATGTACTGTATATGACAAGTACAAGTATTTATCACATTTTCTTTCTATTTATTGTTTACCTATCTGTTGATAATAAACAAGTAGGTGAAGCGCTGGCTTGCAGCGCTGTAGCTTGTGTTGTCCAAAAAAAATAATGGTAGGCACAAGCCTTCTGCAGAGGAGTAGGATGCATAATACTGTAGCTAGTGCTATATATTGAGCCGATGACTGACGGTGTTTTCTGCATCTCGGGATATATGTAAACTGTGGGACAGTATTTAAAAAATTTGAAGGAAGAAAAAGAACAATTCTGTGTCAGCCTGTCCTTTGGGTAGAGATGCGAGTGGTAGAGATCCAAGGCAGGCAGCGCAGGGCATTTTGCCCAGTGCAGAGCTGCTTTAGAAGAGGAGACAAAAAGTCTGTAACTGCAGGAGATTTGGAGGGCTCTGCAGGTTTAGTGGGAATGCTGTCTTGGTAGACAATAGTTGTACAGCGGAATGAGCCTGAAGATGCAAGACTGGGTTGGTTTTTAAGAAATCTAGATTAGGCACTTACTAAAGGTTGACAGTATTTTAGAGTAAGTAATAAACTTCAGTGTCAGCTCTTAACTTTTAAAATATTTTTTTCTAAACTTTTCTTTCCTCCTAACACAGGAAGCAGAGCTTTTGCTTTGAGAAAGCTCTAAAATCACTAATTACTGCTAGGCACGGAGTTGTGAACATGTTCAAAGTTGGAGGTATAGAAGGTATAGAACTTATTTGGTCGAGGGGAGACTGAGAGCTGTACATCTTTGTTTGAGATGAGTTAAAGGCCTGAGGCCTAAAATTTGAGTGATTATGTTCTGAACCAGAGTAAGATACACTAAACTTCTCAATAACGAGTCACCAGCATTAGACTATATAGTTTAATGTATATAAAGAAGGCGGCACCCGGAGAAATTACTTTGAGCTGTACTTGCTTGTATGCTTCTGTGTTGAAATTTCAGTCACTGTAAGTCACGTATCTGTCCTCTCAGTGCTCCTCCTGAGTCTTCACCCTTGTTTCTTGCAAGAACTTCAGTGTGCATGGGAAGCGTGGTAGTGAAAACAAAGCTCCATGCTTGTTCCTTGATAAATTTAGGAGAACTCTTGAGTTGGCAATGCTTCTTATGCTGCTTCTGGATGGAAGGCCGTTAACTCTTGGATGTCAGGTTTTGCGGTATCTTGTCTGAGCTGGTCCTGTTGCCTTTAAGGTGATATTCTTCTGCACAATGGAATTTTGACTTAAATAGAGCTTGTTGCTCTATTTAAGTAAAATATAGTAGAAGTACACTAGAGAGGAATTTGGTAAATGAACTGCGTGAATCACTATGACCTGTTGCCCTAGTAATGCCTACACCAACTGTTAAAAAATTCCTAGGATTTAGGTTTATATCTAAGCAACAGTGCACACTTTTAGTTAGTTACAAGGTATGGAAAGTTAAGGTCTGGTGGGCTAGTAGGTAGTGAAATATTTTTAGGTTGATGGTTGGAATAAGTGCCTTATCAATATATACTTGGTCAGAGAGTAACTTAATGTATTGGGTTTTGTTTTAATATTCTTTATAGCAGGCTCCCGGTCTTCTCTCTCTTCTAAATAAAATAATACATGTTGAAAGTGATCTCAGGAGGTCATCTGTTCAGACCCCTTGCTCCAAGCAGGACAAACTTGGTTCAAGTTGCTCAGGGCCTTTTTCAGTCAAGTTTTGAGTATTTCCAAGCTGTTGGGCCTTTAGCTATTGTGGCATCATACTAACTTGTTATTACAAATTAGTTTTCCCATTTTGTTGTTTTGTGTAACTTTGGACAGAAAAATCTTTCTAGCTATGGATGACAGTGCTGAGGAAAACAAATTTGATAGTTATGGAGGATTGCATTCTTTGCATGCTGCTTGATGTTAATATGTCATTCACCCCTTAATTGTAGCAGTCAGATTACCAATCTCCCATCTCACTTCTCCGTGTTTCATCCATATCTCTCACATTCCAATGTGCACGCTACTTGTCTTTGCAAGCAAACATACAACGCACGGCTAGGGTTTTAAAGACACATTGCTCAGTGGGTGGGATAGGACCACCCTGCTTGTATAGTCATAGGCCTTGCTCCAGAAGTAGTGTGTTACGTTCCTCCGTTGGAGTTACTTCTTTCGTTTGGATCTTACTGGGGTTTAAATCTATGACTTTTTCCACTCTCTGGTTAATGTGTGTCATCTTGCAGAGTATTCTGTAATTGAAAGAGGTACTGTTTTTATTGAACTGTGTGCACAGAAAGTGAAAGGCATCCAGATATTTGTGAAAAACTTTAAAACCTAGAAATTAGAAGGAAAGTCAAACAGGTTAGGCATTTAAAAAGGAGAGAAAAAAAGTCTTTAGACTTCAGGTACTTGAAAAGAATGTGCCCTTTGTGCTTCTGAATTTTGTAATATTCTCCAATTTTTGCAACTTGACCTGTTATCGACGCATTATCTATCACAGCTGCATGCTCAACGCTCCTTGAGAATCAGAAGAGTGCTTAATACAGTATGTTGCCCTGTTATCTTATGAATGATAACATCTGCCTTCCCCCCCCGCCCCCAACCAATTTTCTCATTAGTTTGCTTTTCTGTGAAGGATAACTGGAAATATTCTGGGATGAAATGATAGTAGTCCTTATCAGCCTGAGTTTATACGTTGCTGCCATGTTTCTATCTTTGCCCTTGTCTCTGGGCTCTCTCACACTCTTGTTTGTTCATCCTGATACTCACTTGGTCCTTTGGTGATCTAGTTTGGAAACTAGACTGACAGAAAGAAAACTGTCCTTACAAGAAAGTAAATAGCACTTGTTTGTTACATTCCTGAAGCCGGCTTACTCCAGGTTAGGACAAGTTTCGGCGGTGGCATAAGGGGACAGGAGTTCTGTCTGGGAGGGAGTGGAGAGGGCAGGATGAGGCACGGCAGTGCCGGCTTGGTTGGTTGGTTTAAAGACTTACAGACCTGTGTCCTAAATTAAGAAGACTTAACAGAGTTTTTGGAGGACCCCAGAAAGATTTTTCTCAGGTGTTTGGTCTCGTAGATGGAGCAGGTGAAGTATTTGGAAGGATGATCTATGGCAAAAACACCAGTTTCTGAAAAGCCAGCATCTCTGCTGGTTGATGATACTGTGTTTGTGTCTGTCTCTTCAGTATCGCATATGCTGCCCTTCTGTATTTACACTGTGTATTTCTCAAGTCCCTCCAGGCATCCCCCCTTGATAATGTTAACTCTCTTACTTGGGAAAGTTGTTGTCGTATGTAGCACTCAGCTGCTCCATCTGAGAGACTGAATGTCCACTGGAAATCCTCTGCTGTAAGCGTTCCTGCTGTCGCTTTCTGGGTGATTGTTTTCATTGGCATCATCTTCCTCAGACAAAGAGAGTTAGGTCAGGAGTGAAGGACGGAGAAATGGCATAACGCTGGTTAGCGAGAAAGTCGGTGGAAGACACTGAATTTTGCACTTTGTTGTACCTCAGTTTCCCTTAAAACAGGTTTTGGCATTTCAATATGAGGATTGATTTATAATCTCCTGCCCAGACAGAGTCATTTTGAGGGAATGTTAATTTCAAAATGTTTACTTTTAGCTTATGGCTTATACATTGATTTAAAGTTGCGTCTAGATTGCTGCTGCCCCCTCAATTCATATGATAAATCTCATTTAAATACTTCCTCTTATTACTTCCACTATTTTGCATTTATTCTTGGAGCACTTGCGAATGCATCCTGTACGATTAATTTTCATGTATTTGAATTTAGACAGCATTGTGAAATTCAAACAATCCTATGTTTGGAACCTTATCTGATATTAGCTTTCCTGTATAAAATCCTACTGCGCTGTTTGTGGTTTACCATCACCAGCTGCTTGCTTTTTGTGGTGTGTGTGCATGCACGTGTGCATGTGTTGCATTTTGTTCAGCCGTTGTCCTTGGGATTTAACAATTCCTGTTTCTGAAGCGGCGAATTTACCAGGTGTCAGATCTCTAACTTATAATTCCCGAGGCTATGTCACGTCAGAACAACCCACGCTGTTTGTGCCTTCCAGCAGGGCTGGAATTCAAAACTGTCTCTTGTTTTGGCTTCCCCAAAAATAAAAGTTTCCAAATGTACAAATGGAAAATGATGGCATTATTCTCTATTCATATAAAATATAGATGGATTTTCAGCATCCACTTGAAGTAGTCAATGGGAAAGTGTGTCGTTGAAGCCAACAGATCTCTAAACCTTTAATTGTTTGATTATTTTTTTCTGTTTAGTTCTTCTGCTGGCTTGAAAATAGTCTGAGATCTTGCATGAAGTAATTATTACATCAATTAATTACTGCTAAATGTGCGGGAAAATTAATAGGCTCTCTTTTTGTGAATCTATTTATCCATCTATAAAATTATTTACTTAGATTCACTTTCAGATTTCAGGTATCATGCTTCCAAAATGCATGTCCCCTTTCATTCATTACTGGCAAGAAGGCTTTTCTCACTAATTGTATTTCAAAGGCGGTAATCTTTAGAAAGTTGTCAAATTTAGTATATCAGAGTAAGCATATGTGAGAATGAATGTCACTTTGATACAGCTGGGTATTTTCACCTAGCATATGACAGGAAGCCTGTGGTAGTCAGCTTTCTCAGATCACAGAAGAGAGATGTCTCCATGATGAAGAGCAGGAGGATTTATGTTTTCCCATTTTCCCAAAGGTCTATGAGAAGAAACTGGCATTTTGTTTATTTAGTTACTGAATTAAAATATTTACTTTGATATTGCAGAGTGAAAAATGAGAGAAGTGATGGTTCAGATCTTTTTAATGTGTTAGATCAGTCCTGTGCATGCTTTCTACTTTTGCTGCTTTGGCAAAATGGTTTTGTTTTTTAAAATAAAGATTTAGGTATTATTCATTATTAAATGGTTGCATGAATAGCTGCAAGGTACTAATCCTGTCTTGATTTTGAGGAGATAACAAAGAGATGAGAGATGTTCTTTGCAGGCGTATCTCCTAATATTGGGAATGCATTTTTAAATCAACTTACCTAACCAACAGTAGAACTGGCAGATGTTTTCAGGAGATGCAAAGTGTTATGTTTTTGTGTGATTGAATTAAGGAAAGCTTTATCTTTAATGTGCAAAATGTTTGGAGTTGGAGAAATGTACCAGATGCCTCCGTAGGAGTCTTGCTAAAAATGTGCCGGACACATGAAATCTTTACTTGTAATTTAGTGGATAAAGCCTTTTTGTACGTTACAAGTTTAATTTAATTCCTCCTCCAGATAGTATGTTTGGTGATTTTTTTTTTTTTTATTTGTTTATCTGTAGGTTCCTTCAGAGAAGTCGGAATCCTTTGCATCCATGTTGAGACGTTCTCCTTTAATTCAGATGGGACCTGCCAAAGATAAAATTGCCATTGGTCGAATATTCCATGTTGTAGAAGATGATCTTTATATAGATTTTGGTGGCAAGTTTCACTGTGTGTGCAAAAGACCAGAAGTAGATGGAAAGTAAGTAATAAACTTACGGTAAGTGATTAACATATGTGAATGACATACTGAAATGCTTAGCTGCTGGGACTTGACCATCTTCTGGACTAACCTTGGATAGTTCATATGAATTTTGTGGTTTAAACTATGGAAGTGAAAATATTGTACAGAATGAAAGCGTGATCACAAACAGATCTGTGTAGCTCAGACATCGTTGTCTTGAGTGCAGATTCCTTCGCAAGTTTGCATTGTTGCTATCTACATTATTCCAACTTACGATGACCAAACGAAATTAATGGGTGTTTTGTCACTAAGGAAAGGGGAAATCGTTATCATCCAGGTTGTTACAACGAGTGCTATTTATTGAAATATTTGGGAGCTTTGTGAATGTGAAACTCTAATCCCATGTAAATTGTAAGCCTCCTTAGGCAGGAACTATCTTTGCTAAATATATATACGAGGTGGTGTACTGGGGAGTTTACACATTACTTGTGATAATACAGTTCATAACAGATTATCAGTGCTAATGTGGTCAAATATTCCATATTGTAGAAGAAGATTTTTATATAGATTCTGGTAGCAAGTTTCACTGTGTGTCCTGAATTAGAACTCTAGTGCACCTAGGACAGCTGTGCTGGGGAATGCAGTAAAGAGCTAAAAGAGAAGCAAGCAATGAATTCGAGTGGAAATCACATTTATAAGCTTTCTAAACTGTCTTTAACACCTTATGATTATGTATTAGTCAAAAATATCTTGTCTATTTAATTTGTTTCCAGGCTGCTTTAACACTTAGGGAAAATAGCATGTTTTTGAATTCATAACATCAGAATATTTCAGTCCATCTCTTTTCCCTCTTTTTTCCTTGAGAGAGGAGAAGCATCTTTGCTAATCTGCAAGATCACTGTGTCTAAACCATTAAATATGATTCCTGTGATAAACGGTTCTGAAATAGTTGATTTTTTTTGAAAAGACTTAACAGAAACAATCACACGTTTGTGCGCAAGTTTGTGATAGTATTTTATCACAGCATTTGTATACTAAGCTTCCGTTTTCTGACAGGTCTATGACTTTCAAAGCAAATGTGATTGATGGCCCGGGATAAACAGAGTCCTTTGTGCCCATCACATTTGGCAGTAGGCAGAGATTTTTCTTAGTCTTTTGCTTGTTGCTCTTTGTGTCTCTTGCTCATTCTAAATTGAGATGAGCTTTGCCTTTCCAAATCCCATTTTTGCATGCCTGAGGAGCGTTTCTATATTCATCTGGATCTATGACCATTCATTTTGTTTTTGTGATAGAGTTCAGACTGAAGCTCCCTGTTCAGCTGAGCTCGCCTTCTGCCAGGCCCACTTGACTTTTGCACATTGGGGAAGACGCTTCTAGAGCATTGAGGAGTTTGTCCTTGTAGATCAATGGCCTCTTCTGGGCACCTTTTCACATCAGGACAGCTTCTTGTCTATCCTGAATAAAGCAAAGTCTGCTGTCCTGAAGCCCAGATCTCTCTTCTGCCACTTGCCTTTCTCACTTTCCCTCAGCGTTTAAGCTCTGTCATTGGTGGTCACTGCAGCCGAGGCTGCCGTCAGCTACCGTGTTCCCAAACAGTTCTTTTCTGCCTGTCAGTAATGTGTCCAGCAGAAGACCTCTTAGTTGGGCTGTCTGGCACCTCTGGCAAAAAAATGTCACCAGGGCACTCGCTCTGGATTGCTTGCTCCCCTCCATGTTTGTTTCTGCTTGAGCAGCCATCAGGACAGTTGAAGTCCCCTGTGAGAATCAAGGCCTGCAGTCATGAGGTGGCTTCTGGTTGTTTGAATGAGGATTCATCCACTCCTTCTTCCTGACCAGACAGCCCATAGCGGACATCCACCGTGACACTGTCTTTGTTGATCTCCTCTCTGATTCTGACCTGTAGCTCTCAGCTGTCTCCTTGCACGGCTCATAGCAAGGCTCCATGTGCTCATGCCCCTTCCTTGCTTGCAGCGCAGCCCCCTTTACCTTGTACCATGTTTGCTTGTGTGCTTCCTCCCAGGTCTGGGGAGCAGGCAACTTCGTGTGGTGTCTTCAAATCCCTAACTACGATTTGTTCGCCTCATGAATGCTGAGCCCACCGCTCACCGTTTCCTTGTGTGGTGTTAATATCTTCTTTTGTCATGGTGCTCTGGAATACTTGGGTGGCAAGACAAATTGAGGGAAAGTAATGAAGTATTTCTTCTTAAAAAAGCTCACAGGCAGACAAGTGTCTTTCCACTCCTTCCCTGCTCTCATCTTTCTCCTAATGCTCTGTGTCTTTTCTGGTGCATGTTGCGGTGGTACAGTGGGAAATGAGGCCCAAGGAAACTGTTGTTGGAGCAGATGCTTCATAGTGAGTCAGTTGTCCATTGAACACTGACAGCATAAGCCTGGGGCTGAGAGGATCTAGGCTAGTTGTATTCTTGGCTGCCTGTTATAATGATAAAACAAAGCAGATCCACATAAGGCCTGTTTATACTTCCCTCTCGCTGCTTTTGAGTGGGAGTGGAGAGAGGGAAATTAACAGCCTGGGCATTTGTAATGAAATAAAATTTGGAACTATAGGCAGTAGTTCACAAAACGATACAGACAGCATTTAAAATATTGAGGATGTAGTGGCAGTAGAAGTAGCAGTGTTGATACTCTATATCTAATGGACATACAGCATTCATTTGAGATGTAGGTGACTGATTCAAATCCCCTTTCTCCTCAGTTCAATCCAGGAACCTGAATTTGTCTCTGACCTCTTAAGTGTTTAAATGCTAATCCTCTAAAGGATGGACCTAATCCTCTAAGTAAAAATATTTGTACAAGAAAATAAATAATTTCAATAAATCTTGCCACCTTTTTCCAATTCATTGTGTTTCTGGAATTGGAATTTCTGAAATGTACCTGGATTTACAAAAAGTTGCAGTCACAGGCAGTCTTTTGTTCTGTTGTTTAGCTTGTAGCTTGTCGTAAGGTGCTGTGTCATGTAACATAGTTGTACCAGTTCATTTCTAACTGGGATTTGTAACACAAAATTTGCAAAGTACTCGTGGAATCAAAAAGAAACACGAAAAACAGCTATCTTGGCTAGCTGTGTATGTCATCAGTGACATTCAGGTGCTGCTGAGTTTGGATCTCCCTGCGTATCAAAAAAGTAGTGGGAAGACTTACGCCTTTGCTTGTACAATTGCTTTGATCTGCTTACATAGTAAAGACAGCAGCTCATTGATTTACAGAGTAAAGTTTGCCGTATAAAAACAAATGTAATCTTTTCATATGCTGACCTGTTGTAAGTGTGAAGGCTTAGAGTCTTTCGATAGACACTGACTTCTCTTTGGAAGAAAATAACTGCTTTTGATCACCAGAATAAAGGTCAAACTAGTGCTAGAGTATCTTCTACCAAAGCTTGAAAGTAACTGGGTAGAATTTGCAGCGTGTATTTAGATCTGTACCAGCTTCCATTGGTGACTGCAGTAAGACTTTGTTACTGTTATTTCTGTTAATTCACTTGCTGATAAAAGTGACTGTATCACCATGTTGTAGATGCGTGTAATCAGTAGAACTGTTTTGTTTGCCAAATTTTATTGTTTGTGCCAAGGAGAAGAATGGGCATTTTAATTTACAGATAACAGATGATTTCTTGAAGGCCATCAGTTCAGGACAGACGAACCAGATATAATCTTCAGACACAGAAATTCATGATACCATTTTTATGAAGTCAGTCTTGAGAGCATGGCTCTTCTAGTACCTGTATTCTGATGCTGATCTTTGGTTTTACTGTATTGTCTCTTCAGATATTTGGCAACTCCTCAAAAATATCAATTCAGTATCTTTAAAGGAAAAAACACTCTCTTGCCTTTTATGTAACGACATGTCTCTGTGAGGACATATGCTTTTGATAGTTCCTTGGTCATTTGGCTCTTTTCTCACCAGAACTCAGCTAGCTATTTTCATGATAATATAATACAGTTTTCTTTTTCTTATGTAATGTCCTTTGCTCTTTGAAAGTGCTAGAAGTTATCTGAAAAGAAACAAAATTCCTACAAGAGGTTCTTGTCTGTAAAGCTTGTTCTCTTAAACTGCTCAGTCCTGATCCTAACAGTTGTGATTTCTTGGGATGTCCAAGTGAAAGACCCTGTAGTGCTACCACCATGTGGCCATAAGAAAGGATTCCACCCTCAAGACTGTCTTGGGTAAAAGAGCAAGTACAAAAAAAGGTGTCCCTCACTTGGAAAACTTGAAGTAGCTACATAATATATTTTTGTATCTGTTCTTCTGAAGTAAAATTCAACCTTTTAAAAAAAAAAAAAAAAACACAAACAAAACACCACAAACTATTAAGTAAAAGAAACCTTAGAACAGTAATGATACAAAATTTAAATTGAATAAACATTTGAAGAACCTGCTAGCTATTTTCTTTTGGTTGTCACTGATTTCCTTCTTCCTGTCCTCTTTGGGTGTATTGGGTTTGCATGGCAAGGTTTTGGTAGCAGGGGTGCTAGAGAGGTGGCTTCTGCGAGAAGCTGCCAGGAGCTTCCCTTATTTCCAACAGAGCCGATGCCAGCCGGCTCCAAGATGGACCCGCTGCTGGCCAAGGCCATCAGTGACGGTGGTTGCACCTCTGGGATAACATATTCAAGAATGGGGCGTGGGGGGGGGTGGGGAGCGTGTGCAACTGCAGCTGGAGAGAGAGAAGTGAGAATATGTGAGAGGAACAACCCTGCAGACAACCAAGGTCAGTGAAGAAGGAAGGGGAGGAGGTGCTTCAGGCACCAGAGCAGAGATTCCCCTGCAGCCCATGGTGAAGACCATGGTGAGTCAGGCTGTCCCCCTGTAGCCTGTGGAGGTTAATGGTGGAGCAGATATCCACCCACCACCCATGGAGGACTCCACACAAGAGCAGGTGGATGCCCGAAGGAGGCTGTCACCCTGTGGGAAGCCTGCGCTGGAGCAGGCTCCTGGCAGGACCTGTGGACACCATGGAGAGAGGATCCCAGGCTGGAGCAGGTTTTCTGGCAGGACTTGTGACC